TGACGTCACGCACTCGAAAACATCTCTTCGCCAGTAATAAACGTAAAGGACCCGAGCTTAAGGACGCACAGGGAGCGGCACGCTATGCGCTTCGTGTGTAGATGGCAGACTTCCGCGTCCTCTTCTTGTCATTGGCTGCACCCTGCTGCTGAGAGCAGCTGCCGCACCCACTTGAACACGCTGTTTGGGCCGCTCCAACTTCCGCCGCCGTAAATATATACAATTTCCTCGGAAGCCCCGTAATCAGCGTGCATCGTTACGAGCCAGATAGCCAGATAAGCTGCGACCTCATATTACCAAACGGAGTTTGATAAACAAACGGCACTAGCAGATTTCGAAGGAAAATAAATGTAGCGTAGTACGGCTGCCTGCTGCCGAAACGGTGTGCACCACTGGAGATATAGAATTATCCGAACATGTCTGTTGTATATGCGGAAATAAGTGTTTGGGATATTAGATAAATCTCTAGGGCATTACTAAAGTCTCATAGAAAACAGACATAATTTCTTGCACACGCGGACTCAACTTGCCACAACTATGTCCTTTAATTCATTACCTGCCGCAAAATCATAACCAACCACAAAATATCACCCCCGCCTGTCTTTACGACTCCACCACAGCACATGTAACCGCTCATGGCACCACTCCCCCCTGCATCTCTCCCGGCCGCAGCCGCCGGGCCCGTGCTACCGTCGTCCCGCCGACACCGGCCGTCCATCTGCGGCCTGGACAGCTGTGTCCGTTTCCGACACCTCTGTGTCACACTAATGTGACACACCGGACAGGACGCCGTGGCCACAGCTCATCCCGGCACCTGTGATGTCGACCGGTGGTGTCGGGAGCCAAGGGACGCTGTCTCAGACCAGCCTCGACGACCGGGGTGGGTCATCACTCAGTCTGGGGCGACCCGGGGCCAGGGGAGGGGAGGCTGGGAGGGGTGAAATGGAGTGGAAGGAAGATGGGGCATTCCACGTCAAATCAAACACCGAAATCCGTCATCCCCTTCGATTTTTCTGAAAATTTGTAGGCAGACTGGGCATGGCTCAAAACTGAGTTACGTATAATATTTTCGAAATTTGATAACGTATCGCTGAGATATAGGTCATCGAATATAGCGAAAAATGCCACACATCAATTTTTTAAATGGCTATAATTCTGGTTCCTTTTCTGGTATCAAAATGATATTAACAGGGTCTTATAGGCAATTGATAAGGCTTTGATTTTTAATTATAGAAATAAATTGAAGTGACCTTGAAATGCTTTTGACCTTGAATTAAAACAGAAAAAATTAAATAGCAAAAAACACGTCACCTTCGATTTGGGTAATTTTTACATATTATGTCCGTCACAATGTTCCTAACCATCTGTGAAAAAATTGGAGTGGGCCATTCATAACTTTCACGGCAAACGCCGTTTTCATGCATCAACATCACGCAACCGCGCGTGACCTTGAAAGACAGAGTCAAGACATGCTTGTGTACACTTTCTGAAATGGATGATTGCTGATTAGTGATATCCCAAACTCTGCGAGAATGGAAATGCATAGTCATCGTAGTCAAGCATTCACGTTCCATAGTAAAAGTGTCTCAGGCAAACTGTATTTTGCGGTGAATTTTGAGCCGTGTGGAAATGCATCATGAAGTAAATTCAACGAAAACATTATCACGCAACGATATCTTCACTTTTGATCTTCACTATACGAAAGAACATACATTTTTAGTATGTATGGGGAATTTCTAGTTAATCCAATAATAAATATGGCAGTTAAAGGCCTGCTTAGAGTACACACATAAAAATATTGACACCGTTAGCGGTGTAATTGCACAGTACATATCTGAGCACTTGAGGAAAGTTAATTTAGTCCCTTCCCCGCTTAAATTACTCGCGCTTCTAAATGAACACCAGGAAGAAGGTAATAGAACACTGTTAGGAGGGGTGGGTGTTTTACTACATGTAGCAAAACACCCAATCCTCCTAACAGTGTTCTATTACCTTCTTCCTGGTGTTCATTTAGAAGCGCGAGTAATTTAAGCGGGGAAGGGACTAAATTAACTTTCCTCAAGTGCTCAGATATGTACTGTGCAATTACACCGCTAACGGTGTTAATATTTTTATGTGTGTAACATGTCGCCGGCTGCAAGGCGGGCTCGGCCGATGCGGAAAACGCAGCAATCACAATTTTGTGTTTACACGTTCATATTTCAATTGTTTACCAACCGATTTTCAAAATTCTTGCACCATAAGATTGCCTGTACATTTTTTAGTCTTCTCACAAAATTTGACGCGAATCGAACGTAATCAGCGGTAGGGAGCGCGATGTAAAGACGGAACCGTTCCGTTCCGTCCCGGCACAGTCTACAATTCAGGCGGCGCGTAGCGGTCGGGCGCCGGCTGCCGAGTCGCCGCGTCGCTGCGGCGACAGGATGTTCACTTTACACCGCAATTACTAGAACAGTTGTGAACCGATTTTCTTATTGCTTGCACGATGAGATGTCCAATTCAATTTTGGACAGGAAGCCATAATTAATTTCGCATTAATCTTATGAGATATTGGCGAAAAACAGGAGGGGTGGGCGAACTTCGCTCTTCCCCCTCCACTGCGCGTGCTAACATACGTTTGCATATGTGCCATTTTCTTCAAAACTTATGCATGGCCCACTCTAATTTTTTCACAGGTTGTTAAGAATATGGTAGGCAATAAAATATATGAAAATGAGCCAAATCGAAGGTGACGTGTTTTTTGCTATTTCAATATTTGTGCTTAACAGAGTTAAGCAAATTTCAAGGTCATATATTTAAGTAGGTACAATTCTAAACAAATGCTTAAGAAATTACCTAAACAGTAAGGTTTATTTCATTCAAATCAAACAAGTACAACCAAAGTTATGGTCGTTCAAAAATATAAAGATGCAACATTTTGTAAAAATTTGATGCCCTATATTTAGAAGACCTGTGGTCAGAATGTGCAAAAAACATCAATGTAATGTCCGGGGCCAAACAGGAACTCGCTCACAAATTTATAATGAAATCGCTGATGGTAAGGTGCAAAACAGCCGATTTTTGTTCGATTTGACGTGGAATGCCCCAGATGAGGGCATGAACATGTTGTGAGTGAGGTTGTGGCTGTGATTGTCATTGTCTTGGAGCTTGATAATTTTGTAATAAGTATTGTGTTTAACTTTAAGCGTGTAAGTAAGTGATGTTGGAACGGTGTGGTGAAATGAAATAAAAATAATAAAGATTAATTGTAGCGTCCTGTTTTGAAGGAATGATTTTATCATAATGGCAGTGGACCAACAGTTCCTGTGGTCTGAATAAAAGTGATGCTTTCTTTCCTTACATGTTTGACAAGAAATGGCGATAACTTCCGTGCCGACTTTGCCAAACAATCTTCGGACAAGCGTCCAATAATTCGCGCCCAAATCCGTCAATATCACACAGCCTGCGATAGACATCATGAACATGATGCAAACGCGTCTATTATCGTATATCAATCAAGTTGAGCGACAACACGACAGTTCCGTTTCAGAGAAAACCGCGGCGAGCGACACTGGACACGGGCGCAGGCACTAGCCCGCGACCGTTCCTGGTATTTAGACCCACCTAACTTCCGAGCGGCCCGCTAAGTAAACCACCGAGACTGTGCGAGGATTCGCCAGCATTTCAGAGCCGGTGTAGAGATTGAATGTCATGGTGTTTTTGCCGGACGATTGATGAGTGCGGGCGATTTTAAATTCTTTGAAATGATTCAATTACAATTTAAAAAGGAAGATTATAAACAAACTTTGGCTGCATGGGAGACATAGCAACACCAATTGCACCAAGTATGTCACCGTTAAATAAACTTTTGATGGCGCACAGCATATAGAAGTTGAATACAAATCATAGTACTGATCTCAGGCAGCTTTTGCCAAATTGTCAGGGAGCTCAGATTTGTTTTTCAATAGAAAAACACAATTCTAAAGAATAGTGTTTTAACTATTGACAACAAACCTTCGGTTACAATCCACGCTCCTCCCTCAGAAAACTAAGAGCTCCCAAACCACCTCCATCCCCGTCTCGCCTCACCCACACCACTCCTGTCCAGTGCCCATGGGATGCCCGGAAGTCACATTCGCTCAGCAGCGGCTGTAGCCGTGGCGGGGGCGGGGGCGGGGGCGGGGGCGGGGACGGGCTGCTATCGATGGCTCCAAATAAACACTGCACTACGGCGCGGCTGCGGCTGCCGTGTGCTGACGGTGTAACGGACACCGTCGCTGGCGCGTGCTCTGTGCTTGGCTGTGACCCCACGATGACGGCTAATTGGATGTAGGGTGACAAAGACGAGCGGCGGACGCGACTGCGGCGAGTCGGACGGCCGAGTGCACAGCGCACTTGGGACCGTGGTGCACAGTGGGCAGTCTGTGTTGTGCGGGGACTGAGGGATATGAAAGACACATGCACTGAGAGATCGGAAATTAGCGAGATAGGTGCTAAGTTAATTACGGTAGCCACTGGTCACTGGTGGTGGTTATATGTTATGGTGTGGAGTAAATTAAAATGAGCCGTACTTGAGACTGACAGTTTGCAATTCAGCAAGATCATTCAAGCAGTATGCTGATTAGAATCGGACCTGTTGACATTGGAAGAAGTACGACGTTGTGGGATGATATCTAATGAGGGTACTCGAGCAATGACATGTAACTCTGAAATCAGATCATAGACCATGATCCTGTTTGGCAGCTGTTATATAATCGTTCGCTTTCTTCTGAGGCACCGTGACCACAGGCGAAATTACATGGCTTGCATGTAGGCAACACTGATGAAACTGTAGATGTAAGCAGCAAATACGTCACTTGCTGGTGTACATTTGCTATAAGTAATCACGTTTCTCTCTGTGTTTCAGAAATAGCTGCACTGGCGAAGGCGCAGTCAGCATCTTATGAGACACACGGGCAGCGCAAAGCACCTCGAGCGGCGTGTCCACATTTTCTGTCTCTGAGTCAAAACCAAGAGAACAACGCCAGGCCCAGATACCGGCTGGAACGCAATCAGCTCCTACAGTTTGCTGAGTCGCCAGACGCATCAGAAAAAAAACTGTCACGTTGGCCTGCTTAGCACTTCCATCTCAATGCGGCGCACAGCATTCTAACGCAGACAACCGATTTACTTGCGTTATTGAGAAGCAACTGAGACGACTGACAATTCAATCAACTCATTTCCGGTGCCCCCACCACCGAAACTCTCCTCCTCTACCATCCTCACAACACCCTGTCCTCCTTCCTCTAAAGCGCTCCGCCTACCGCCATGTACCACGGAGGGGTGCACAACGGGGCCAGTTACGGTCTCGAGGGCGGCGCCGGCGGCGGCTACTTCTCCGGCGCCATGTGCATGCCGCCAGCGCACCAGATCTTCGGCCTGTCGCAGATGGCCGCACAGAGCGCCCAGATGTCCAGCCAGGCTGTCAACGGCGCCACATCGGCCACCACAGGGTAAGAGATGCTGACGAGAAAGGAAGGAGAAAAAGAAGGGAAAGGGAGGGAGGAAGAAAAGAGCGAATAGCAAGTGGTGAAGACTTGTGAAGTGGTGAAGCAAGTGGACCACTTGCTATTCGCTCTTTTCGCGGTCTATTCCGAAGCTTATGAACTTCGCAATAAGGACTGGGGAGCGGGTGGCCATCGTTGTTAAGTGATGGAAGGGGTAGATGGATTAGCCGTTCTCGCGACAATTTATTTGAATTTTACAGTACAGTGATGCGTTACTACAGGCTCAATTATTTTGATTTTATTATATTTTCAATTTTTATTGCAGCTGCAATTTTAGTTATGCTAATAGTGGTTATTTGAATTATTTCACATCAATGGGTGCACGTCATTACACATCTGACTCCAACAACTTCCCTCAAAACTAACGCCTCCTCGAACCTTCCCCAGGTGGCAGGGGGTCACGGCGCAAAACGGCGCCGACAACGCCCAGCTGGCGATGAACTTTGGAGGTTTTAAATTCGCCGGTGGCCGGGAGATGGCACAGCCGTCGATGGCGCAGGGTTTTGGCGGCTACAGCTACCCCGCCGGCAATATGACGCCCTGGGGCTGCAACAACATGGCCGGCCTGTCCAGCCTGCAGCGCGGTGCCTATGGTACGGAAAGTGTTAAATGACTCCACATATTCACCTGTTACAAATGCTGGTACTGGTAGACGATCTTATATCCCAGTCCTGATTCAAGGTGTAAGCACTAATCCTCACAACATTTCGGCCACCGTTCCGTGCTTCTATCCTCAGGATACTGGAATCCTTCTCCTCCACGCCGCAACCCCCCTCCGGGCTGGACAGGCAACTTTATCTCATGCGGGCTGCTCCCTTGGAGCGGCACCGCTGCTCCCGAGGGAGCGCACCCCGTAGCCGGGTGCAGTGAGTGCCTTGGGGCTGGGTGGCCTGTCCTCTGGACGGGCTCAGCCCCGGCGATTCACTAGGGTGCCTGCCCAGACCAATGTCTCCCCCTAATTCCTGTCATCCTTCCGGCTCTGCAATGGTCTTGTCAGACCGAAAGGGCCTAACCCAACAAAACAAAAAACAAAACCTCACAACGTTTCGGCCAGTTCTTCTCCGGCCGTCGTCAGGTGTTCTCCTTTGGCTCTAAGAATGACCTGGATGTTGTAAGCAAACACTGACGGTCAAAACCATGTGTTTCTCAGAGTTTCGCGAGTGCGTGCAGTGCGGCACGGTGACCCAGTCGTGCTACCCGGACGGCACCGGACACTTCCTCTGTGGCACCTGCTTCTGCAGCCCCAAGTGGAAGGGCATCACTCCTTCCCGACTCTACAGCGCCAGGAGAGGGGTACGTATAGCCCCGCATTGCTCCCCTTGGGACTCGTATAATTAGTAATAACTAGCCAATGAAATGGTCTGATTGACAAGCCCGCTAGAATAGGCTATCTTCAGCCAATTATCTAAAATATACAAATATATTAATAAGAGTTTATTTTGATTTTGGCTAACATGTAGATAGCGCTATGCGAGACTCATTAGTATTTTAGGTTGCAGCGTTCAAACATCAAATTGCCACAAACCAGAGCCTGCAGATGTAACCACATCATAGAAGACGAAATGCAGCGGCGCTGACCAATTTGTTCACAGTGACCTCATCTGGAGAAACTAGTGGTGCAGCTTGAACTCACGTCGTTTGCTAACTGTAGGCATGGTTGTGCGCTAATGACGCACGGTTACCCCGCTGGTGATGTGTGGGTGCTCTCTTGGTGAAGTGCCGTAATTGGTGGCGACTGGTGCTTTGTTGGTGAAATGTTCTGGCGGCTGGGGCCCTGTTGGTGACGTGCTGGTGCCCTACCAGTGAAATGTTCTGCCGGCTGGTGCCCCGCTGACCCCCTGTGTCGTCTTTGTCTGCTGTTGCAGTCCCCGTTCGCTCGCCGGTTCCACTCCATGTGTACCAACTGTGGCACCACGCAGACCACACTCTGGAGGAGGAACGCAGACGGTGAGATGAAACGATTTTTATTCGATTTTAAGTAGGATTATTCAGTGCATTCGATGCAATAGGTGTATTTTACGGACCGCATTTTAAGTAATGAAGCTCATTACAGGAAATATTCGGTAGCCATGCTTCCTGAATATTAACCCTCGCCGGCACAGGCCATTTTGAGTCCTTCGACGGCACGGGGGGGGGGTAAGACCCCCCTCGCGTTTGGCCCCTGATGGAGCTAGAGCTTCGCGGAAAAAACGAGCGTGTTGCCTGTCACGGGAGGAAGCCAATGATACCCAATTTTAAGGTCCTAGTTCATCGGTTGACCTTCCAGGTCAGGTCAATGACCCAAAAATCGGGAATATCGGGACCTGTTAGAAAGTCGTAAAGCGTGGCTGGTGCTGATCACAAATATAGTGTTAGTTTTGATCACATATGATGTCGATAAGCGTTTAGACCAGGTCGGGTCAGGTCAGGTCAGGTCAGATCAACCGGTAGGGATCGTGACGGGTATTCGTAGTACCTGTCATCCGCCTCTGACAGCTTCGTAGCATGTTACGAAGGCAACAAAACTACTTCGTAAATCAGGGCATATTTTAACATACTGACTGCGTCCCATTTTGGGACGCAGCCCCCTGCCTTTGGGACGTAGCCCTCGCGAAATTTGGACCACTGCGTCCCACACTGAAATGCCACGGTTTCAGCCGCAAAGTGCGAGCAAAAATAAGTAACATGCCTCGGTCTTTTACTGTGTAAAAGATGTTGGCTTTCCGATTGCTTTGTGCCCTGATTTACTATGTACCTAAGCACATATATGCCCTCCCCAGTCCTTGTGCCCTGCCCTACCCTTGGTCATACACCTTATTATGTTCTTCCCTACTATACCCCTAGGATATGTGCCCTGCCCAGTGCCCTGTCCTTAGGTCTTGTACCTTGCCCTGCCCTTTCTTCAGGCCCTGTGCCCTGCTCTGCATTCAGGCCCTGTGCCCCGCTCTGCCCTGCCCTCAAACACGATACTTTATATATTCTGCCTGGAAATTGGATGCGCTGCCTTCCCGTCTTTTGGCCCCGTGCCCTGCCCTACCCTAGTTTGGGGCCCCTGCCCTTCTCTGCCCTCAAGCCTTGTGACACGTCCTACCATCAGACCCCGTGCCGCTGCCTTGTCTTCAGGTACTGTGCCCTGCCCTGCCATCAGGCCTTGTGCCTTCCCATGTCCTCATGCCCCGGCCCCGCGCCCATCCTCGAGCCTAATGCCTTGCCCTGCCTCAGGCCCTGTCCTGTCATGTTCTGCTTCCAGGCCTCATGTGCATTGCCCTGCCCTTAGACCCTGTGCCCTATTCTGCCATTAAGCCTTATGCGTTGTATCGCCCTCAGGCCCGTGCCCTGCCTCGCCCTAAGTTGCTGTGCTCTGCCCTGTCGTCAGGCCTTGTGCCGTCCCATGCCATCAGACCCTGTGTCCTACTCTGCCCTCAAGCCCTGTATTCTGCATTGCCCTAAGGTCTCGTGTCCCATGCCCGCTCTCAGGCGCTGTGCCCTGCCCTGTCATCAGGCCCTGTGGTGTCTCCCGCCCTCAGATCCCGTGCCGTTTCCCGTCCTCATGCCCCGTGCCCTTACCTGTCCTCAGAACCTGTGCTTTGTTCTGCCTTCATGCCCTGAGCCTTGCCCTGCCCTCAGGCCCCATACCCTGGCCCTGTTTCACCGGTGATAGCAGCACGCTGCTATTACACGTGTCAAATTGGGTTTCCATGGAGACATCAACAGGCCCATTGCTCAAACACTACCACAAGTATGACGTCAGCTCGCGGAATTTGATAGCAGCGTCCGTGAAACACCGCCCACGTCTTGTCATACCTTCGGGGCCCGAAGGTATATGAGAAGACGTGGGCGGTGTTTCGGGCCTTGTGCCATACCTGTGTCTTATGTCTTGCTCTACTTTTGGGTACTATTTCTTGCCCTGCTCTAAGATCCTGCGTGTTGCCCTGCCATCAGGTGTGTTGACCATCAGGTGTTCTAAGGCCCTGTGTCTTGCACTACTCTCCGGCCTTGTGTAATGATAGCCTCAGACCCGCGCCTTGCCTTGCCCTCGGACCCTGCATCCTACCCAGCCCTCAAGTATCCGTCTTATCTTAGCTTCATGGCCTGTGCCTGCCCTGTCCTTAGGGCTCAGACTCTGTGTCCTGCCCTTCCCTTAACCCGGCAGTTGCTGGGGTATTTCGCCACCCACCGTTTGCTGGGGGGGGGCGTTAAACGCCCCCAGCCGATAACTCGAGAACCAATAGGCGCAGCGAAACGCACGAGGCGGCAAACGAAAGAGCGCGACGAGACGCTTCAGATGAGTACTGTTGTCGCCGGCTACCTTTCTGTTCTTCCAATTCTTAGACGGTCAGATCTCTAAACGCACCGACTCATCACTTGTGATTTATTTGAAATGAACTTGACGATATATTTGAACTGAACATGATCGAGTGAGAGTGTAAAAGTGGTTTCTGAAACAAAGCAAAACACAAAAGTAAACAAGCATTCGTCATAACAAATTCTGACACAAATACTGACAATTACTGAGGATATGGAACGTAACAGTAGTAGATAGTCAAGTATATGAAATTACTCACCGAGGTTCTGCCCTGTCCACTATAATTATTTAATTTAGCCGTTGACAAAATCTTTCAAAATAACACATAACTAAACAAACTAAGCAAACAAAGACATTTGCGGAATGACACGGTCAGCTGAGCGAAAGCTGAGCCGGCTGGTTCCACAATACACAAACAAACTCGTTCGTTGCAAACCGCTGGTTCTTCCACTTCCGAGGATCAGTCAGCCGAAGTATCGGCGCCGGATACGCTGCGCCAACACCCTCCCCCTTGAACCAACACAGGTTCAACAACAAGGGCAGGTAAGGACGTCCGGCGCTCACACAATCGCTTCCTGCACCAGTACCAGTTTGGAGATGGGCCGCTTGAATACAGATCTGGCGGTCTTAGCTGTCACAGTCCTGACTTGACCCTGTGCATCTGGGAACACTTCAGTCACCCGACCCAGAGGCCACTGTGGTCGGGGTAGATTCAGATCGACGATCAAGACCAGGTCGCCGACAGACAGATTCCTCTTGACCTTCATCCACTTTTGTCTTTGCTGCAGCTGAGGCAGATATTCTGCCATCCAGCGTCTCCAGAAAACGTCTGCCAGGTACTGCACCTGGCGCCACCGTCGTCTGGAGTACGTGTCCTGCTCATCAAACACGCCACAGGGTTCAGCACATCCTTGGAGCAGCAGCAGATGGTTCGGCGTCAGTGGTTCCAGATCTGCTGGATCGCTGGAAACTGGTGTCAAGGGTCGACTGTTCATCACAGCCTCGACTTCACACGTCAGCGTACGGAGTGACTCATCAGTCAGAGTCTGCTCTTTGAGAAGCGCGCCTAATATCTTTCTGAAAGTCCTGATAAGCCGCTCCCACACACCCCCATGATGCGAAGCGCCTGGCGCGTTGAATACCCATTTGATGCCTCTTTTCAACAAAAATTCGTGAACCTGGTCTCTGTTCAGGTTCTTTACCGCTTCTTGCAGTTCTCGATCGGAGCCGATGAAGTTAGTTCCGTTGTCAGAGCGGATATGCCTGACTTGACCTCGCCTTGCCTGGAAGCGACGCAGTGCACTGATGAAGGAGCTGATGTCCAGGCTGTCAGCAATCTCGATATGCACAGCGCGGGTTGTGAGACAAGTGAACAGCACGCCGTATCTCTTCATCTGCTTCCTGCCGCTTCTTGTGAAAAATGGCCCGAAGTAGTCAGTACCAACACGCGTAAAAGGAGGTTCGTTTGGGATTACACGTTCCTCTGGTAGATCAGACATCACCTGGGTGACGACGCCAGCCTGTCGTTTCCGGCACCCAACACACTGGGACAGAACTCTGCGGACAGCTGTGTTCCCGCTCACAATCCAATACTCGCAGCGCAAGGCCGCTAGAACATGTTCCCGTCCCTGATGACCAGTTCTTTCGTGCATGTCACGGATGATCAGGTCTGTGACGTGGCCTTGCTTGGGAAGAATCTTTGGATGTTTCACCAGATCTGAAAGCCCACTGTTCTTCAGACGACCTCCGACGGTCAGAGTCCCATCGACTACGAGTGGACTAAGGCGATACAGAGGGCTGCCTTTCTTCACATGAGTTCTGGTCAACTCCTCAGGGAAGACCCGTCGCTGTACGAATCTGATGATTGCAGATTCTGCGTCCTGAAGGTCGCGCACAGTGAGGCGCGCAGAAACGTTTTGGCTCTGCACGTCTTCCGTGCCATCATTTAACTTCTTTCTCGTTTTCGCTCGGATGAGAAGCGTAGTTCTGATTCGAAGCAGCCATCCAACTGCCTTTTTTAGCCTGTGCCAATCTGAAAATCTGTTCAGAAGCTGTGAGGTAGGATCGTCTTCATCTACACGAGCAGCATTCACCGTCACTTTCTTGATCTCTTCGGGTTCTTCGCCTTCTACTGATTGCAGTGCGCTGGTTTGATCAGGCCAGACGTGTATCTGCCCGCTGAGGAACTCAGGGCCATCAGTCCAACGTTTGGAGTCGAGGAACTGTCGCGCCGTGAGACCACGTGACACGTCGTCAGCAGGATTGAGAGATGACGGCACGTACTTCCACTGATTGGGATTCGAGCCAGCATGTATGATCGAGAGGCGGTTCGCCACGAAGGTTTGAAACCTCGAGGTCTTATTCTGTATATATCTGAGGGTTGAGATGCTATCTGTCCAGAAGAAGACGGCGTCCATCGGTACTTCGAGTTCCGATAGCAACAGGGTGTTCATCTGAACGGCTAGGGCAGCTGCGGAGAGTTCGAGCCGAGGGATAGTGCATACTTTTAACGGTGCCACTCTTGCTTTGCTCATCAGCAAATACGTGCGAATCTTCCCTTCTTCGTCCACCAGTCTGATGTAACTGACAGTGCCGTATCCTCTCTCACTGGCGTCCGCAAAGTGGTGCAACTGACGACTCACCGCCTTGCAGTCAGCAGGTGACAGACTCCTGCTCACACTGAACTGTTTCAGCTCCTTCAGGTCGTTGCACCATTGCGTCCATCTCTCAGCATGCTCTTCAGGGATAGTGTCATCCCATCCCAAGTTAAGACGACACAGGTCCTGGAGGATGAACTTCGCTGGCAAAATGAATGGAGCGCCTAATCCCAAAGGATCATAGGCGGCGCTGACGGTAGACAAGATTCCTCTTCTCGTAGGTGGTCCTGGATCAACCTCGACACGAAAACTCATGGTGTCATTGATGATGTCCCATTGCACTCCGAGTGCCCTCTGTGAAGATGGCGTACCACAAGAGAGGCTCATTGTGCGAGTCAGTGCACAATCTGCCTGCGGGAGACGCGACATGACCTTCTCACTGTTGCTTACAAACCCAGTCAAATTGAAGCCTCCTCTGGCACAACAATCACGAACCTGTAGCGCGATGTCAGCTGCTTCGTCTTCAGTTGCGGCAGATTTCAGAAAATCATCTACATAGAAATTCCTCTCTATGCACCTTGCCACATCAGGTCGATACAGATCACCAAAGTCCTGGGCTGTTCTTCGTAGTGCGAAGTTTGCGCATGATGGTGATGAAGCTGCTCCAAACAGATGGACGTTCATCTGGTATTCCTCCAGCTGTTGAGACAAATCCCCTTCAGCCCACCAAAGGAATCGAAGCAGACTCCTGTCCTGGACAGGTACACGGACTTGGTAAAACATCTTCTCCACGTCTCCCATGAGGGCAAACGGTTCTTGGCGAAATCTTAAGAGTACTCCAACTAACGAACTTGTCAAATTGGGTCCTTGCAGAAGCCTGTCGTTCAGCGACACGCCCTTATAGCTCGCAGAACAGTCATATACAACTCTAATCTTCTGCGGCTTCATGGGATGATAGACGCCATGGTGCGGCATGTACCACGTTCTTCCCAAGTGCGCACCCCTATTTTCTTTAGACACCTTCTCTGCATAATCCCTTTCAACCAGCTCATTCACGAACTTCTTGTAGTCAGTCAGATATTTCTCGCTCTGCAGCATCCGCTTCCTCAGACCCTCTGCACGACGCTCCGCTTGTTGTTTATTGCTGGGAAAGGCACCCGCATTCCGAAGTGGAAGTGGAATTTCATAGCGTCCGTTCACGTGCCGCACTCCATTCTCCACCTCTTTCAGCCACAACTGGTCTTCCCTGGACAGACCCACCTCTACAGAGCTGCCATGATCTCTAAAGTCCTGATTGTAAAGATCGATGAAGCTACGATGCAGATCTGAATTTTCCCTAGCGGCTTGAATGCGGTTTACTTTCACTTCCTCGGCCTCCGCTTGGTAGCCTCGCCTTGGACCCTGGATGACCCATCCAAGCGCAGTACGAACAGCAAATGGTCCACCATTTTCACTACGCCTCACCTCCAGGGGCTGGAGCACTTCAGGACAGTTGCTACCAATCAACAGGCCAACCTCAGCGTCGATTCTTGTCAGCTGGATGTCCTGCAGGTAAGTCCACTGCTTCAACTCGTCGTTCGATGCCATGTCTCCTGACTTCACGGGAATGGATTTGAGGGTGTATGTCGGAGGCAGCTGAATGCAGATATCGCCATTCATGTCCGAAATCGCAAGGCCCCTGACCACACGGCTGTTCAGCTGCTGATTATCGACGGACGCAGTAGTCATCGACAGCCTGATCTCTTTACTCTCGGCTTTCAGTTGCTTCAATAGAGACTCCGAACAGAAGGTTGCCGAACTTCCATTGTCAAAAAATGCGTAAGTCTCCACAGAACTGCTGTGATCCGAACAGAGCAGTTTTACCGGTAGTACTGCCATCATTGTGGATGTTGACTCAGCGCTAGCCCTTAAAGCGCTGTCTAGCTTTACCCTGCCGTTTGTTACCAACTGGCTGGCACTGGAGTTGTCCCGACTGATGTCCCCCTCGTGGTTGTCATTATCATTGCTTGCACCGGGCAATGACGGTGATCTGTTGTGCATCACTGTAGGATGCCGCATCTTGCAGATCGTGCATGTTCTTCTTTTTGCGCATTCCTTAACCAGGTGGCCCTTGCCCAAGCACCCATAACAAAGACCCTTCTCTCTGATGAATTTGTTCTTCTCATGAGGCGCCAAAGTTCTAAGGTCATCACACTGGTCTAGCCAATGGTCTCTGGAGCAGAACAAGCACACTCGCGAGGTCTGATGACGTCCAGAATCTGCTCCGACGACTGTCGCCGACACGGTTTGAACGTTCTTCCGTGAACCGTCAAGCTCACCGCTCTTGCTGTTGTGTTGACGTCCAAACATTGGATTGGTTTGTATTCTTACTTCCTTTTCCACGAAGTTGACGATGTCTTCAAACCTAGCCTTTCTCCTCTCTTCCTCTTGAATCCTGTCAGCCAAACGGCGCCACTGGTCTTGCAGCTGATACGGAAGTTTCCCAAGTATTCTCCGCATCGTCTTCGGGTGGTCGGTTTCCCTCCCTTCTGATGTGATTCCACCCATTGCGTTATGGCAGGACCTGAGCGTCAATGCGAATCTATCCAAGCTCTCTACGTCCCCAGGCTTCACCAGGGGCCACTCCATGAGCATGTCGACGAATGCATTCGTGATAGAGTCGTCGTCTCCATACCTCTGCTCTAGCAGCCGTCTAGCTTCCCGATATCCTGCACCAGGTGACATGTGCAAACAGCCTCTTATAACATCTCGTGGTTTTCCTCGGGTGTACTGGTCAAGGAAAAACAGCTTCTCCTCGTCATCTTCGGTTTTCGACAAAATGCGACTTTCAAAGGCCCGGATGAAGGATCGGTATTTTGTTATCTCTCCGCTAAACACTGGAATTTCGACATTCGGTAACTGTCCTCTCTGGAGGTGGGTCAGGAGTGCCTGTGTGGTGTCGACATGTTGGTACTTCTCATTGCTCACCTGTCGTTGAACCATGCTTCTTTCTTCACCAGCTTCCTTCAGCGTGTCTCCTTCCCTGTCATCATTCTTGGGAGAATTGTTTTCTCTGGCCTCTTCTTCTTCTACATCCCACCTTCTAGCTTCTTCCTTGCATGCCACTATGGCTGTACTCTCTTCATGTTCGTTGTCATATGCTGCATGGCTTATGAGTGATGCAGACCTTACCAGATGTGGTTGACTTGTTCTTGCATCGACCGACGTTTCTTCTTCGGCAAAGACCTGCTCCCTTGCTTCAGCCTCTGCGATTTCCATGCGTAGCTTAAATTCTTCCTTCTTCATTTTCATTGCCACTGCTTGCGCCACTGCTTGCTCCTCCAACTTCTGCTTCTCCTTCAGCATGTCGATCCTTGCCCGGAGACCTGCCTTCCTCGCCTGCTCCCTTGCCCTCAGTGACGACACAGAAGCGCGCGAACAAGAGGAGTGCCTCGATGAGGTAGACCCGATTGACACAATAGAGCTGGCTACCTCAGACGCAGCTCGTTTGTGGTTGTCATCTCTCGTGTCAAACCCCTGAGCCTCAGCAGCCTCCTGACTGTCATTGACATTTATACCAGCATCCTTGCAGGGCTTATCAGGAGCACAGTCTTTCTCGGGAGCTACAGTATTAAATCCTAAATTGTCTCTAGAGCTACTGGTGAGGCCACGGGTAAATTCAGCAAGATCAGCAGCTTTTGATGCATTGAACTCAGTGAGAAAATCAGCCACGGTAGTACCTCCCGATTCCAAAACATCTTTCAAACGGCTCACTAAAACGTCTTTCTTAATACCCTTGCAGGCTCTGCCCCTTCTTGACAGCTCATTTTTTAGCTCATGAACAGTGAGTTTGTATAATGTCTCCATTTTGTCCATACCTCAATGTAGGTGAACCCTCGAAACTGTTGTCGCCGGCTACCTTTCTGTTCTTCCAATTCTTAGACGGTCAGATCTCTAAACGCACCGACTCATCACTTGTGATTTATTTGAAATGAACTTGACGATATATTTGAACTGAACATGATCGAGTGAGAGTGTAAAAGTGGTTTCTGAAACAAAGCAAAACACAAAAGTAAACAAGCATTCGTCATAACAAATTCTGACACAAATACTGACAATTACTGAGGATATGGAACGTAACAGTAGTAGATAGTCAAGTATATGAAATTACTCACCGAGGTTCTGCCCTGTCCACTATAATTATTTAATTTAGCCGTTGACAAAATCTTTCAAAATAACACATAACTAAACAAACTAAGCAAACAAAGACATTTGCGGAATGACACGGTCAGCTGAGCGAAAGCTGAGCCGGCTGGTTCCACAATACACAAACAAACTCGTTCGTTGCAAACCGCTGGTTCTTCCACTTCCGAGGATCAGTCAGCCGAAGTATCGGCGCCGGATACGCTGCGCCAACAAGTACTTTAAAGTTGAATTTTGAGGTCACAGGTCGGGTCAAGGTCAGGTCAAACACCTGAAATCGGGCTTTCGGTAGCATGGACTTCAGGGCTTCGCAATGGGCGCCTCTCGCCATAAACTCTGTCAAAACGGTGCACAATCCATCTTATAAGGCCAACAAGAGTGTCAGCTCCATGTAGGGGTCAGTCAAGCATAGGTCAGGGTCAAGGTCAGGTCAACCGGGTAGGCACATATCCCCGAAAATCAAAACTGATATTCGCAGCCTGTGACACATGTTTTATAGGTAATTTGGAGCGTAGAACACGATGGTGACATTCATTTTATCATATGTGTACGTGTTTGGCCCAAAAAGTTCAATTTAAGAAATTCATGTATCATGGTCGTGAAGTAGTCACGAAAAATTGCCAAGATTCAGTTCAAGATTATGGAAAGTTCGGAGCAATAATCAATAATCGAAGATAGCCATTTGATTGACCATGGTATTGGCAGTCTAATGGCGTTTACGGCATGTCTGTATATCTATTCTGTGATTTTATATGATTTTTTGAACATATGCCGTTTTTGGTCGAAAACTCAGAAATAATGACGTCACTAAAACCTCGATTTCTCAAAAATTTTCCGACCGATTTTTTTGAAACTTTGTCACAATAAACTTCAATCAATTCCCTACAGGTACCCAAAATTTGGCGCGCCTGCGGCGCGCCGTTTTTATGCTATGGCCCGGCGAAAAAAGTGGGGGCGTTTAACGCCCCCCCCCCCAGCAACTCGCGGGTTAAGTCCTGTTTAGAGATGTCAAGTTGGAGCCCGCAGGCCCGGAGCCTGGCCCAAAATCCGGCCCTACAGGGCTTTTGCATGCACAGTGGATTGGATCATTGTTTTGAGGTACCTCATCGAAACGCATCGACTGATATGCGCCATGATCTATCTTGGTCACGAAATGACCTTAATGTGAGGTCAAGTTCTGACCTTGACATTTCGAGGTAAAAATGAGAGAAGAACGATCGTGCAAACGAAAATTCTCTACCTTTTTTAGTTCAAAAGCTTTTCATGAAACCTATATTGACAAAATTGTAATTTTACCCATTTTTGGCTATGGAGCCTTAACCGTTGATCTGAACTTAATTCTGACGAAATATTGACGAAAGAGCTGTTCAAGATATATCGATTGCTTTTCTCCTATCGATTGCGCCCTCCTAGCTATCATAGTTTTTGAGATACATGCACGTTTTCCGAAAAAAAGTATCGCATCATTGCGAAGTTTGACATTTGATGGCATACGGTCAGATCAGGGCCGTCATGGCCGTCTGGCCATAGGAGGATATAGAGGGGGCCACGGGGCCATGCTCCCCCCCCCCAAAGCGCCCGGAAATGGCACAAAATCGACACATTTCTGGGCATAATAATTAAACAAAGGAACTTCCATTGGGAAAAGTTTGGGTTTTACTGTATGCCTGGCCTATTCAAATACATTAGCCAGAGAGGTGTGGTAATAACTGGTGTAAGCAAATTGACCACGGTCAAAAATGCATTACCAGAATGCACTTAAGCCAACATTTTTGGATGGTCTCGTTCCTAAGTCGGCTAAGAGCTTCGGTCCAGAAAATAAATTTATCGTTGGCATACAGTAAAATACATACCAAACTCGGCCGGTGATAAATTTTCAAGACCTCAGTCCTTACTGATTTTTGAACTCGGCCTTCGGCCTCGTTCAAAAATCCAGTAAGGACCTCGGTCTTGAAAATTTATTTACACCGGCCTCGTTCAGTATTATATAATATTACATGATATGCAGTAAGGAAGCGAAATCCGAAGCATCCAATTCCAGAGCATCCGTTCATCCAAAGCATTAATCTATGATGGATTTTTTTATGTAGCTTTAAAATCCGATGATTTCTTGTCACAACTTAGGTGGGTACTGTTTGACCTTACGTCATCTAATTATTTCAAACACATGGTATCTTCAATGCAAATTGGCAATGTTTCACACGTCAATTTCTATTTTGAATCGATTGATAAGGGTGAAAAACGCATGAAGAGGCGTATGTATCAATCATGTGCATATTCATTTTTATTCTCTAAGCATAGGTACAATTTGGTGCGTCAAGGGAGGTCAAACACGCCCAACGCCGATCAGGAAAACGAGTGACTAACAACAATGTAAATGTCATTAAATCGCCGGTCCGCCTTTTGAATGCGGATAAAGAACGCACTACGACTGGGCGAATTTCGAGACTGGCAAAAGCAATCACAGCCCGCTCCCAATATCCCGCTTGCAGTGCCCCTCCACCAGCACAGTACACCATGTATCTGCACATTATCTCACTTGCATTATATACTATTTCGCTTGCAATGTGCCCTTTCCGATCAAAGCGTGTGCCCTATGCCACCTTTGGGACGCAGTGAAAAATCCTTAAAATATGCCCTGTCGTAAATGCTCAAATGGTTGCTAAATTCGAATTCAGCTCCAAAAACTAGTCTAGAAACATGTAAAACTCGAAAAAGTGAACCAAGGTTCGAACCAAGGTCACCAAAGGTCAATAACCTGACCTGACCTTCCGGTGACCTTGACACCCACCCTAATGCATGGGAGCAACATCAAATCACATGTTTGAACGTTTGAAAGCACGAAAAGCTTGCAAACGCGCGGCTAATGCGAGCCGACATACGCCGAATCGCGATTCCGGCCAAATATGGTCACGGGAAAGAGGTCACAGGTCAAAGATCATTTGGTTCAGGGTCATGAAATTTTCAGTGTAGGTGTAAAATTGATCAATGCGAGAGGGTAGTGAAAGTGTCGTTGCAATCGGCCGCTTTTTACGCAAGTTATTCGCAAAAAACCTTAGGGGTGGGTTGCATCAAGGGTTAAATATGTGTGCAGTGTGCACATATCTGACATTGCAGAACCTTACTTGCTCCAGTCTTTCGAATACTCCGCTTCTCTCACCTCTCTCACTCCTGACATGTTTCATTTTCAGGCGAGCCTGTTTGTAACGCCTGTGGGCTCTACTTCAAGCTGCACGGCATCCGACGGCCCCTATCTATGAGGAAGGACGGCATTCAGACGCGAAAACGCAAACCAAAGGACAAGAAGAAAGAATCGGGCAAGGATAAAAAGGACGGTGAGTGACAGCGTGTGACAGTGAAACAATATGGTCAGCTTGCACATTGCTGTGTCGTTATTTGTTCCAAAACAAACCACATGCTGAGATAGATCATTGTCGCTGTTGCGCTCATCATCAAGAGATTCCTGTGGAGAAGTCATCCCCAGTTCCCTCGTCACCGTCACCGTTCCACCCTCGCCCCATCCCCACCCTGACCCCTCCCCCTGCCACTGCACCACCGGTAGCCATCCCATGTCACCAGAAGCATAAACAACCCGACTTAACATCAGCAACACAGCAAATTTAAACTTATCATCTACTAATCGTCACCGGTCACCGCACCCTTTATAACTGATGTCACGCCGTGTATAGAACCTGTATCGCAACGCGATCGAATTCGTATCGGAAATCGATCGATGACGCGGTCCTTGATCTGTCCAAATCCGATGGGTCGCTTTGAGGAGATTCGGTAAATATCGCCGTTCTGAAGTCACTCTCGCACCAGATGTGTTTGCAGAATCGTGCATCTCGTCAAACGTGTGTCAGATTTTGGCAGTTGTTTACGGGAGTGACAGACAGCACTCGCTCTTATCAATGCTCCGTTACACGTATTGGAAATTATCGATTATTTGCCGCCCAGCTTGGGTCCCCAAAACACCATGTTTAAACCATACCACCAAATGGTAGCATTTGGGTTACTGGCTAATTCTAATGCAATTTTAATGCTCAAAATATCTGCGTAACCCATTCATCCCTACCCATTGGCGGAGCTAGAAGATGGTATTGACATTACGATAGCATGAATCCCGAAACGGTAAAAAAAAAACAGCTTTGTTTATCTTGTTGGACTGAGCCCTTTTCTGACAAGATCATTTCAGAGCCGTAAGGATGATAGGAATTAGGGGGAGACATTGGTCTGGGTGAGCAGTGAGCACCCTGGTGAGTCGCCGTGGCTGAGCCCGTCCAGGGGACAGGCCGACCACCCCCCTAAGCACTCACTGCACCCAGCTACGGGCGTGCTCTTACGGGCAGTCCCGCATGGGATAAAGCTGCCCGTCCAGCCCGCAACAGGGGTTTGTGGTGTGGAGGGTCAGCCTCGATATCCTGGATTTGAATGTCCTGAGGATGGCCAAATGACGGAACGGTGCAAAAAAAAAAACAGCTCCTTGATGTTCGTTTTCATAGCACTACAATTTTAGGCCAACCCTTTCCAACAAAAACGAGATTTTTATGCGACAGCAATGACATGACAAATTGACACATCTCGGACACTGTGAGGGATATTTATTGGAAATGCATCCCCGGATCATTCATGAATCATGGCCCCTTACTTTCGCTTCCTTTCCCGATTGTCGACCGCGGTAAACGTTATGTCAATAAACCTGCCTATCGATAGGTATGCCCGTTACCTTCACGTTTCGTTCTTTGCCTGTCCGTTTCGTGGCAGGTACCTTAAATCGCATAGCATACAGGGTTGTATACGACTCAATCAATAGCAATCAATTCAATCACGACAAATTTGGGAAACCAATCAAATCAATCAAGTCAGAGCAGTTTTCGGGAATTGATTCAATCGACTCAAACGCGACAATGAAAGGAATCAATCAACTCAATCAAACGACTCAAACCAAGATATACATTAGGTTTTTTGCCCCACCAACTTGGAAAAGTGTCCATAGCAGTCTGGTGTACCTACCTACCTACCTACCTACCTACAGAAGAAACATAAAAATATTGTCATTTAAAATTATAAATTGCCATGCCATTCAAAGTTTCTATGTAATAAGGAAGGATACATAGTGATGGACAGGTGGATCATGATATTGAGGTTCAATGGGTAGAATTGGAGCAGAAGTTTCATTGGGTGCAAAATAACCCAGTAGTTGACTTCAACAAACGCCCCTTAACCCAAATCACCACCTTTCACCTAAAAGTTGTCAATTTAATTTTGGCCATATTCCAGCTAAGTCATCAGGCCATCTACCCCATGTAAAGCCCCCGTCTGTCTCTTATCATTATGTGAGTTATGCAGAGCTCTTCTGAATTGAACCCTGGGCTTGAACATAATGAACCTAGCTAGGTTTCATGCCACACTGACACCATGTGAAAGTGTTGAAAATGTGCTACAAATTTGACAACTTCATTAGGTATGCTTTATGAAGACAGCAGGAAAGCAGGTAGGTACCTACTTACCTGCCTAGATGTGTCACTGGCTACCAACAGTACCAACGAAGGTAGATAGGTTATGTGTGAAGAATTCAAAACATTTTATTGCAATACAATTTGAAACTGTTAGGACTGGGGGATAAGGATGAGCATTAAAAATATATTTAAAAGGAAATGGAAAGGACAGGGACTCTGGAACCACAGGATAAGTTAAAGACAAAGGAAGTAGGTACAAGTTAAAACGCGAAAACGGCACGGTGCGACTGCGAAAAAACAAAGAAAACGTTGGACAAAACGTTTTGCCGATAAGTATGCTAAGCTTTTATAAATCCTTATTCTACGTCTTTTGATTTTTTGGTGAGATGACGTCATTGATTATCATGTAGTATGGTAGGTCATCATAAAATAAATCGGTTGTACAACACCAATTTCGTTTTCATTATTATTTCATTTGAAATAAAACCACTTAATAATATTCGGCAAAATATTTTAAGGAAAATGAAATATATTAAATATGTTATACTTAGGCTCTCAGGAAAAAAGGATCAACAAACGTTCTGCTGCAAATTAAACAATGCAGCAAATTAGCTATTAATTTACGTAAACGTAATTAACGAGACGAAAACGACGCTTTTGTTTCAGTTATTTTTGTAGGGGTTTCAGATATTTATAGAGTTCAGTGGGTTGTTTCTGAGGAGATGTGGAGGTGTGAATTATTAATTAATCACACTTTATTAGTATATAGGGCCTTGCACTTTATCATCTGGATTAAAAAAAAGTTTCCTGCTGAGTGCAGAAAGGTAGGTAGGTGCATCGCCAGGTATTATCTCATCCATGGCCAGGTTCTTTCACAGGATTGGAGCAGTTATTGCCAGGGATGCGGAGCCGGAGCCGGAGTCGGAGCCGGAGCCGCCGGAGCCGGCATATTTTGCCCGGAGCCGGAGCCGGAGCCGGAGCCGTGAAACAATATAGCCCGGAGCCGGAGCCGGAGCCGGAGCCGCCAAAAAAGGGGGCGACTCCGGCTCCTTTTTATTTTTGAAGAGGAAAAAAATAATTGACCTAGTTCGGTTTGACAGTACAAGGCAGTAAAACATATCGTACTATTGTCTCAATATAAGTGCCCAGGCGACCTGTAGTTTTGATGCGGTGCATACCCTCACCCTCGCCACAATGCGAGTGGGGGTGGCGCTGGCTGGGAGGAGGGGTGCACTCGGCCCGAGTTGTGGCGAGGGTAAGGGTATTCACCGCATCAAAACTACAGATCGCCTGGGCCCTTATCTTGAGACCAATAGTACGTCATGGGCCATCAAGTGAATGAAAAAGCCGAATATCCCCAGTATCCCACAGTACGCAATCAACTTCCTGTCTGCTCCTCCCCCCCCCCCCCCCCACTCACGTCTACTGCATCCCCAGAACATGAGGACCGGTCATCAGGTGACCGCCATTGTTTTGAAGCCAGTGCAGTGGACTGCGACTCCCAGCACCGTCTCTTCCCACCCCCACCCCCACCCCCCAATGCCGCTGAGATGGGTGTCAGCTTACGATGGTTCAGTGAACTCCGATTCGCGGCGACTGCGTTTCCAATGCCATCGCTTCCTAGTCCTTTGTTCTGCCAGTTCTCTCCGAGGTGCGTTTGCGCGGGGACGCGGTGAGCCGGTCATGGCAAGAGTAGGTAACGCGTATAACCAAGCCAATTTTTCTTCCACCCGTATTTAATTGATTGCATAGGGGATGTACTGAGTCGGAGCCGGAGCCGCCGGAGCCGGAGCCGCCGGAGCCGAACCATTTTACTCGGAGCCGGAGCCGGAGCCGGAGCCGCCATAACATTTCACCCGGAGCCGGAGCCGGAGCCGGAGCCGATTTTTTTCTCCGGAGCCGGAGCCGGAGCCGGAGCCGTTTGAAATTTCCACGGCTCCGCATCCCTGGTTATTGCAGTTGAAAGTCAAAGTTGGCTGTTCATGTTTAGGCCCTGTTCTTTATTTGGCCATCTACCCCATATTGCAGTGGTGATGACAAGCAGTTTTCAGTGTAGTTTTGTGATCTTTGATGTCATCAATTGGTGTCATTATTTTTTTGTCAACTAAAACTTATTTCAACTTTCCATTCAATCGACTCAATCATACGAGTCACTCTAATTTTCGGGAATCAAATCAGTCAACCAGTCGCTAAAGTCAAACGAGTCAGTCAACCAGTCATCTCGAAAAGTCAATCGACTCAATCCAATCAACTCAAAATACGCGTTGAATCAAATCAATCAATTCAATCGACTTGATTGGTATACAACCCTGATAGCATAGGCATTCATTCTGACTCACTAACCCTCCTTTCTACCCAGCAGAGTCAACAACGGAATCGTCTAAGAAATCGACGCAAAGCACCTCCCTCAAGGAGGAGGGTCAGCCTCAATCCTCCTCCTCCGACGGACGCCACCGCTCGGCTGCAGCAACGACCACCGCCAGCGCCACCTCCGACTACCGAGCGCAGACCGTGCTGCCACCTACCGCCGCTTCCCAGGGCAGCGGCGGCGTCAGCACGGGAGTCGACATGGCCCAAGCATTCCCTCTTGCCAGCAGGGCGGCCGGCCTCGGGTTCGGAACGGCGCTGCGAAATTTGGTGGATACAGACGTTAGGAATGTTTCTTGAGTTTTGGTGCGAGTGGGGAGGTATGTAAGTTTTGAGATGACCAGAGACTTGGATTTTTGTGTTCCGTTCCGATTGGCCACTTTAGTTTGGCAGACATTTTGGAGATTTGCCAGTGTGTTTTACCGTAAGCGCGTATTGTGCAGTGTTTATGTCTTCCAGGGACGTGATATTATTTGATCTGAATGGATGTATGCAATAGGTATTCTAACAAATCGGTAGTTTTTCAGCATAACTAGTTGCTAGTGCAGTCAAGACTTTTCAGCAGTGCGGATATTCGCTGATAGTTTGTGCAATGCTATTTTTGGTAGGTACCTACTGACGTTGTTGATGCATGAAGTATTTGTCTTCCATGACACATCATCTTGTTTGAACATAGCTGCTTTCTGCATTGGATTTGTACCTACACGAATAAAATCCAATAGCAGGTGTTTGTTTTTAGACTTGTTGCGATACATTACCTAATTATTATTTATGAAAGTGATGAATGTGTCTGATAAGATGGACTCTGGAGTCTGGAGTCTAGACACATTGAAGGGCACCTTCAATGTGCTTGCCTCGACATCAAAGCAAAAATCATTTTTTCTAAGGCATAATATGAAGATAGTTATAGGTACGCACGAAGGTAATGGACACAACTACGTGTTTTGAAAACGAATTATTTCAAGCACAAATGAATATTCCCGACTTATTTGTTATCAATTTACTTAATTAACGGCGACATAAACAAACCAACAATCAATCCCGGTTCATGTTCTCAACGTTTTCACGCCTTTACGCAAAATAAACCTTAACCCGCGCGGGGCTGGGGTCTCCAGCCGAACGCGCGGGGCTGGGGGGGGGGGTAAATTTTACCCCCCCCCCCTGTTATCTCCCGAACTAACGGTCCGATTTAGAAAATTCAAACGCCAATCGAAAGCTCTCATCACAAACTACTAAAAACATGTACTTAATTTAAAGTTTGAGGTCAAGGCCAAGGTCAGGTCAAGGGTACAAATTGCAAGTTTCTACAGTATCGGCCTTGCACCGTAGTTGCCGAAGAATGGAGTCATGGACTGAGACTGATCGCCCAAAACGTGTTCTTAGGCTACCAAGACAATATTCGTTGCATACAATATCATTCAGAGGTCAAGGTCAAGGTCAGGTCAGGTCAGGTCACCAAAAAACAAAATATAGAAAAGGGCATGTGCGTAACATGTTTTATGGGTCATTTTACTCATAGAATTCAATAGGCACACTCAATAAGTGATATGGACCACCTCTGGATGAATTTCAGGTCGAGGTCAGGTCAAGGTCAGGTCAAGTGAGGTCAAATTTTGAAGTTGGTTGTTAAGACCTAAAAAGGTGTCTATCTGATGCAGTTTTTCACGGCGAATCGAATGGTGCTATTTTTGTTTCCGTACGAGGTCTAGAACTTCCAAAAAAGTCATTTTTCAAAAATTTTGTGTGTCGTGACGTCATAAAATTTTTAAATAACTCCCACATTTTTGAACCGATTCTTCTAAAATTTGGTATGTAGGTGCACATAGACCACTTCTCTGACATATATTCCGGTTTTTTTGATAGACTCAAAATTTTGGATTTTATAATGATTTTCCCAAAAAAGTCAGTTTTTTGAAAAAATTTAGGCCAAAATCCAAAATTTTCAAAAAACCGAGATAGCCATTTGATAGACAAAGTAAAATTACGTATAACCTTTTTTGTTACGTCTTGATTCCTTTGAAAATGAAGATGTTAGCGGCGTTTGAACTTTTGCCGTTTTTGAGGCGAAAATGACGAACATGACGTCACTAAAACGTCAATTTCTCAAAAAATTTCCGACGGATTTCGCTCAAATTTTCAGGGAACGTGTCAAATTGATGTAAGAAAAGGTACTGAAAGTTTGGCGGCGCTGCGCGCCGCCGTTTTTGAGATATCGCAAAAATTCGCGAGGGGGGGTAAAATTTACCCCCCCCCAGCCCCGCGCGGGTTAAAAGGGTATATAAGTAGACCAAGAGGCTAGGATGTGTCACCGTTTTACGCACCAATCAAGGCATAGGTAGGGGTTAGCTCGAACCAGCTATAATTATAGATAAGCGCACATATTTCGAAAAACTTCAGACAAACTCATGAGCAATCGAGCTCAAGAAAAAAAAGCGAAAAGGTCTGTCATTAGCAAGATCGCTAGCCGAGAACAAAAACGTTGCTTTCTTCCGTTGCCTTCCAAATTGTGACCCCGTTTTACCTCTCGCTCTTGCCCATAGCTGCAACTTCCTGCACAAATCAACGCTCCGCCCTGCGCTATCCGCCCTCCACCCTTGTCCCTCTCCTTCGTTCCGCTCCCTCCGCCCTCTGCCCTCCGCCCTCCACCCTCTTCCCTCCGACCTGCCCGACCCCCTCCCCACCATCCGTAGAAACTGTTAGCTCCGCGTTGTCGCCTGCCGCCCGGCCGGCACAGGAGCGGGCCACTTCAGTCGGGCCGCTGTCTCCAGCTGAGTGAGACGCTTCCCGACCTGTCCGCTACTGGGGCGCGGCAGACGGCGTAGACAAGCCGTGCATTGTGCGGAGACTAGGCGGGTAAAGACGGCGGTGGACAGGATAGTCAAATCAGCGGAAGGGACAGTCCCATTGGCGGAGAAGGCCATATTGTGACAAACAGCAAACAGCACCACAGAACAGTTTCAACAGAGCTGCTGAAAGTTTATGTGAGGTTCGAGACTCGAGAGTGAACCATCCTCATAGTTATATCATTATCTACAAAACGGAAACCTATTGTCGCGACCATAGCCCCCAGTGGATGGTGTCTTCCAGCGACTGCTCTATTCGGACTCGGCGGCCTGGCGGTTCGACTGGTTCCCGCGGTAGACCTCATCGAGGTCAATGCTGGCCAGCTACTTCAAATCACTGCGACCAGGTAGGTGGGACTTACTTTTGCATGAAACTTGCGCGAGAAGTGTTACGGCGGTCAAGTCAAGCGTTTTTTTTATCTGATGCCCATTTGAAGCTTTGTTTCGTTAGAAAACTACGATGCACGTTGCATGTCCGTGGGCTTACGAAGAGGTGAATTTAATGGCCACCTGACAGTGAACACTGGACGGTTTGTGACCTGACCTGGGTCCAACAACATCTGCATTTTGTCCTTGCCTTGTTTTATGGAAACGACGTTTTATTTACGATAAAGTAGGTATAGCATGCTTGGATCAATCACCAAACGAGATGCTCATCTGTATTTGTTTTTGTTTTTGTTTTGTTTTTGGCAAAAAAAAATATCTTCGTTATGATTGATCATAACGATCATAAGATCAATTAAAGAAAGATCTATTATTTTATCCTGACCTGGGTTGTACTGGTAATGTGTATGTAGTGACATAATAGACGATATTTAATTTGAAGTTGTTTTTTGACAGCTTTAATTTTTTACAAGCTGTTAAGGTTTTCAAAGCCGGCCTAAGATATTAAAAAAGAAGGAAACAAAATACGCAGGTAAACCGTGCCTTTAAAATACTGTGTTTTTCACTAATTCAAAGACAGCGTTAGGTATACAACTATTGAAAAGGAATTTGGCGTGATATGAGCGTGGGACCACTGAGGAATATTTAATTACGATAAACAATGTATATGTCTATCAGTGGTTACAAATTACAATCATACTAAACCGCAAATGTCACCAAAAGAATTGCTAGGCACTGCTGCGAAGCAATAACAAGTAGCAAGCAAAGGGAAATAGCTCCTTCTACACCAATAAACGTCTATACTCTCGCGAAGACATTAGCCGTTTTCACGACGGCTATATGTTATACACTTTATTCATACTTAGATTTGGTCAAATTAGGTGCATTCGCCATATAGACCGTCGTGAAACGGCTCTTGCTGATCTGTGTCTGTCCGTATCGATCTGTTTCGGTCTCTATGTATTTACCAGCCAGTGTCGGTCTGTATCGAATATCGATCTGTTTCGGTTTGTCCCGGTCTGTTTCGGCCTGTATCAGTCCGCGCCGGTCCGCAGTGGCCCGCGGTAACCCGCTGTTGTTCACGGAACTGATCCGTGATCCGCAGCTGACCCGTCCGTCGTACGTCGTGCTCGGCAGGCACGCGGAACGAACAGTTCCGGTGTCGGTCGCCGACGCGGTCACCCCTACCCGCGGTGACCCGGTTCGTCCCCAGGTGGCCGATCTGTGCCCGACCGAGCGTAGTCGGTCCCCACTGGAGTCTGAATCATGACTGATCACTGCTCGTCCCGACTCGAGCATGGCTTGTTCTTATTTGAGCAAGGCTGGTCCCTGCCGACTCAACCATACGAGAACCTCGCTGCAGACCGGCCATATTTCGTCTCATCTTGACCACACTTCGCATGCAACAGACCACTATTCACCCCAAGCCAGCAATATTCCACAGGTCGTATCAGACCGACCACAATTTTGAACCGCTCTACCAAAATTCGTCCCGGACTGACCACAGCTTGACCATTACCAGCTCGTTCCACAGCGACCATAATTCGTACCAGACCGACTATTATTCGTCCAGGCCACCGACGTGCCAGCGATCCAACGTCGCGGTCGTTGCCGACCTGCCCGTCCCGGTCCTGAGACCACGATCCGGCGCTCGAGTCGAATGTCGGTCGCTATCCTCACGGTTTCCGCGTATGTGGGCCGATCGGCGCTGTAATGATACTGGTTGGCCGCGTGTTCGGATGGAAGCGCCTGTCAGACACGTGTTATCACTTATAGCCTATCGATGTCGCGAGCCACAAGTTCCCACGGCTATCACGGGAATGGAAAGGTATCGAAGACGGATGTGTGAAGGGAGTGACGAAGCTTCAAGTAGCGATATTTAAAAAACAGCTGAGTACGAGTTGTAGGATCAATAAAAATACCAACGTCACTCAACACAACGCTGTGACTTGTTCGTGATTTGTGCTTCGCTTAACCCTATTCCTGGCGGGGGGGGCCTCAGGAGCCCCCCTGAGGTTTTTTGGTTATTTCTTCCAAACGCGTTGAGCTAGGAAGCTCAAATTTTCTGACTTTTCCTAAAAGGCTTCTACGCAACATGTCTGAAAATTTTGAGTTGATCTGACCTCAGGTCAGGTCACCAGAGGCGGTTTGGTGACCCTACCTCAGAAAAGTTTGCAATCACGCCAGAGCTAGAGTTTTTGACCGATCAATTTCTTCTCTTCAGGCTTTAGTTAGGGTACCAGTATGTGCAATTTGTATATCTCGGAATTTTGATATCGGTGACCTAAGGTCAGGTCAGTTTCGCGACCTCCCCATTATAAGTCAATGGGGGAAAAATCAACTCCCTGTTTTTACCACTAAAACGGGTCGGAATGGCCCCATATACCATACATGACTTCATATACGATCAACCTTCACTACCTTGAGGTCTGTTTTGCTGTTGGGCAGCTGTGAGGTCATGTGACGTCATCAAAGGTCACCAAAGGTTTT